AAAAAGGATTAATTTATCAAAGAAGATAAAGTGGTTAACATAAAAGACATTACAAGTTAGGACCTTTTTGGCACAAATTTTTTTCCATGGTGCATCCATTATAAATCAAAACCATATTTATGTAAATATCTTATGTGAAAAGCCTGGCCCTTTGTAGAACGGGAACTAATGAACCCGACTTGTGCTGACAACTACATGGATAGCATGTTTGAGATTATTGCAAATGGTCGTGCGACCTTTCATCTCTATATTTTGGAAGCCACCTTTATTAAAACACATAAACCTGTCCTTTGCCGCCAAAAAGAATTCCTATACAATCTACACATCCTTCAGTAGGTCTGTGAAATTTCCTGATTGGCTAAAGGACATGTCAATCAGTGATTGCCTTACCGGCCTACGTTGATCTGACTCATTTTATAGGCTGTACTATTTCCTATAGATCATTTTCCAGACGGTTCTGCTACGATTAGTGTCTGGTGAAAAGCTTCAGCAGATATTTCTTTTGCAACATCTCAACCAACAATTGATCCAGTTATCAACGCTATTTTTAATTTTTGAACAACTCGACTTTCAAGATTTAGGTATCTATATGTGCCGATGTTTCCATTTATCAACGTTATATTTTAAGATCTGAGCAAGAACTCAACTAACAGATGTTTCCGTATAGAAAATCTATCTTCGAGTTTTGTACAACAAAAAACTTTTTCAGAACGGTTATTCCGATGTTAACCGTATATCCATGAACTTGGTACATGAAACCGATCCCTTATTGGAAAAGGAATTTTGATAATAATTTCAAATTAATAATTATATCTACAGAAGTAAGGCAAGTTTTTAGTTAATCGTACAAGTATGTTGAGCACAAAAAATCAGATGAGTTACAAAGGTACTTGTACTCAAGATATATCTGTAAGTTGATGACGTCAGTCTGACTCAGACTTTGAGAAGTCGGAATGCAAGGAGATGTTCAAGTGAAGAATAAGAATACCTTTGTCCATTGCATATTGTACTCAAGATATATCTGTAAGTTGATGACGTCAGTCTGACTCAGACTTTGAGAAGTCGGAATGAAAGGAGATGTTCAAGTGAAGAATAAGAATACCTTTGTCCATTGCATATTGCATTTTCATAACTCCAGAACCTCCGAAATGCATATCTACAGTTCTGTTCAGTAAGAATAAGAATACCTTTGTCCATTGCTTATTGCATTTTCATAACTCCAGAACCTCCGAAATGCATATCTACAGTTCTGTTCAGTATCACTGTATCTGGTATTTACTCTCCTCTACCATGAACTGTTGCTAAATCAGTAATGTAGGGTAAAAATAGTTGTTTATAACTCCGATGTTAAACACCATGTTGAATGGCTCTTTGTAAAAGGTAATGTAGTGGTACGCTTACTTTGATCGCCACCCGTTCGTATAGGGTTAAGGGTCCAATGAAAACTAGGCCAATCTATGTTCTGTCTCACCTTACAAGATTGGCATGCTTTTACCTAAATTGTGTTTTCAATGTTTTCGCCGACCGTCACAACTTGATTTTAAATGTAGTTATGTTTATTATATTTACAAACGTGAAAAAAGACCCAAATAAAATCAGATAGATCCTGAGATACGTTGATTTTCTTCCTCTACAAATAATAGTTAATTACTTGTATGCCACAGTTTATTTGATTGTCAGACAGAATATTAGTTAATACTCTTTTAGCAGTTGAGAACTTTACACTTATCATCAAGACTTGGACAGTACACATCAAATAACTTATTGTAAGCAAGACTTATTCATTTTTTAAATCAAATTGTGTTCTACAATGTTATTACAATGGAATTGATTTACCGATGGAACTACTAGATGATATCAGTTAGCAAAGTGGCCCTCCGAGTGTCTAAAACTAAACATTTAAATTTTTGAAGAAGGATGCATGTAAAGTAACCAAGATGCTAACTGAATAAAAAGTGTAAAATCAAAAATGTTATTTGCATTGTTTACCGCACAATCACTCTTTTAATTACAAATACAGGATTATTGATAACGTTCTCCAAGTGATATGGATTTCTTGTTTGTATTTTTAACATCATCAATTAAAACCTGATTATTTGTACTAGTGGATAAACAAAGCAAGTGATTATGTAAATTAGGTAATAATTTTGTTACAGCATTATTTATTGAACGATAACTACGTGTTAAGTTAAAACATTTATTTATGTGTAGTATCTTGGCTACATTGATATTAAAAAATATCAAATTATATTTTTCCAATACATATAAACTGAAATACCATCCTGTTTATTATATCTATCAATATAAACCAACCAAGGTGCTAACTGAATAAAGAGTGTAAAATCAAAAATGTTATTCCCATTGCTTACCACACAAGTGCTACGCCACTATTTTAATTACAAATACAGGATTAATGATAACGTTCTCTAAGTGATATGGATTTCTGACATTTTATCATCTCTCAGTTTCCATGGGAACTTTCAGAAAATTACCTGATAAAATATTTATGTTTTAGAAATAACTTCGACTAGCTCCTGTTCTTTATAAACATTTGAAATGATAGCTTAATTAGTAATTAATTTGAGGTATTATTTGTATGTTTATTTACGTCCAATCAGATTACAAAGACATTTTAAACTGATGAAAGGAAATACTTTATTTTTATCATTATTTTAAGTTAATCTATACAACCAGTAAGCATATATTATTTAATAGTTTGCCTTTATTAGTATATAGACTACAATGTTCTCTTGTATCACCTAATTTCAACCTTCCATTTTTTGTTTTAGCGTAAAGCTACACATCGAATTGTCTGCGCTTTGTATACTGCGAGAAATCGAACCCTGGATGTCTTTAATCGTATCGTTCGTACACCGGGGACCTTCAACTGTTGCCGTAGCCAGGTTAATAACTTTAATTTTACTTTAATAGATTTTCAAATACACATAAGTTTCTGTGTTACATAGTTTTGAACACATCTTTAGACGCACGATTTTTAACTGAAAAAGGAATAGAAGAAACAAAACTACTTTAATATTTAAATATTTTCTAGCATTAAAAGTGGCAAATGTTCTCCTTTAGCCTAATCATTATCGACCTCTAGAACAGATCTATAACTTTCATTTACCAGAATTGCTTACTTATCATTCTAGAGCCTTTTGAAAATTTCAATATGTATATATATATATTGTTGCGTCATCGAGTCACATGACTACTGTGACGCAACGTTTCTAGAACTATCATGTATTTTGGCGAATGTTCTAGTTCTTACTAGATATAGGGTAGGCTGGTATATAAAAGAGGGGAATGTAATGTTTGTGTAGATAGTGTGTAATTGATCTGCAGTCAGAAGTATTATTGACGTTCGTTGATATAGCGTTTGTTTTAGCGCGATTGTTGAAGTTGAGTGTATCGGTAAAGTTATATTCGGAAAGAATAAACCAGTTTTATTAAGCAAATACTTGTGTCGCTAAAGTTTCGTCGGAACGAAGTTACGGGAAGTTAATTAACAAACGGAGACGTAACAATATATATATACTCTAATTTGTTCAAACTAAAAAAATTATTTAATATTCACTCTTGCTGACAAATATTTTACAAATTTTAATCCAGGTAAGAGTATATAACTTACTTAAAATATAGTTTTTATTATATTACTTAAAAATACCTTACCATCTGGTAGATTAGAATGTGTACTCTTAGTTGTCATTTGCTTCTTCATTGTAGTAATGTCCCGAATTTCCTATAGGCTTGCATCCGGTTTTCCTTACTTTGGGCCGATGCAAGTCGCACAATGATCGGGGGTGGGTTGGTTGCTTTTGTTGTAAGAGCAGCAATAATTTATTTTTTATTAGATTGAGCTCCTATTGCTGCTGCTGAAACTTGCTCTAAAAATGTACTATATTTTCATTAATAATTCCAGGAATTCCATTAGTTTCCATGTTGTTGTTTTTTGACAGAATTTATTATTATTGAAGGTCATTTATTTGTCTTTTAAGTACAGGAATCCGTTCTTTGTAGGCATAACTTCCACTTGATCGTTTTTTTTTTTTCAGTTGTTTGGTTTCACGGTGACTTATTTTATATTTTTGCACAAAAACAACCATCAGTTTTCTTTGTGCACAAAGATAGTGATTCTTTTACTTCCCCAAGTGTTTTCCATATTAGAATATTATTAGTATTTGTTTCAGAAAATACATGAAATCCACCTAAATACGTTTGAACAAAAAAAAAAGGAATAGCTAGAACAGCTGGTAATATCTCATAAACATAGCTGGAGTATTTGTAGATGGATATTATGGTTCCTGTTACGTAAGGATTATTGGTTTTATCCTAAAAATATTTTCAAAGTACTGAAAAACAACTTAACTGTCTTATCTGTAATTCGAAGCTACGTTGTTACTTATTATTGTTTTCCAACTTATACGTATTTCAAAATATGTGGGAAAAATTTGTATTTGTTTGAAGTTAAGCACAAAGCTACACAATGGGCTATCTGTACTCTGCCCACCACGTTGTAAGTCCGCAGACATACCGCTGTGCCACTGGGGGAGTATAATTTTGTAATATATATATATATGTAGGGGAGGGGGGTTACCTGTTTTTATTGTTTCTATTTATTGTTTCTCTACCGTTATTATGGTAGAATATACTAGAAAAAATTATTCACAAAATGAGATAACGTACTGGAAATGTATGGTCATCGTTTTAGTTCTCCTCAAGTTATAAAATGTTATGAAATCAAGTCATATACTTGAAATGGCGAATCTTTATTACTATTATTATTTCCCCTCATTTCTTGTGAGGATCTGGCTACTCTCGCCAACAGATGGAATATACACGTTTGATTAAATTTCCTAAACCACAATTTTAGACTATACAACAATATCTTTAAATACATAATGCACATAACATATAATTTTATGAGAGAAAAGACAAACAAACTGCTATCTGCGAGAACCGTCCCTAATTTAGTAGTGTAAGACTAGAGGGAAGGCAGCTAGTCATCACTACCCACCGCCAACTTTTGGGCTACTCTTTTACCAACGAATAGCGGGATTCACCGTTACATTATAACGCTCTCACGGCTGAAAGGGCGAGTATGTTTGGTGGGATGGGGATACGAACCCGCCACCCGCAGATTGCGAGACGAGCGCCCTAAAGTACAATGTTTTAGTTATATATATGCTTCAGGGACAACTTAAAGGTAACAGAGACAATTGCGATATGGTAAATTGGAGAATTAAAAATACTAAATCTGTGAAGAAGAAAGAAAAAACTTTAGTATTGTGTGGAAATTAGGTTTAATAATTTCAAAATTAAATACATATGTATTCCAATTAAGCGGTTGTAAAAATTATTTGTAAGTATTTACAATTGCGGGATTATTATATTGTGACATAAGTTAAGTTGTATTTCATTTAATCTCAAATTATGGTTTCGATTTCTTTATAATACCGTTTCGATTTCTTAAATTTCAAATCTTATAAATATTGTACAAGTCGAACATTGTAAAGTTTTCCTACTGATACCTCCTGCACTCTCAAGATTGGATACACCCTTAACAACATGTTTAGACAAATCCTGTTTATCAAACGGTTGCAAGTTATAAGCAAATTTAAAAGGGAATTACCGTTTGTCTAAAATGACAACTATATGTTTCTAGTGATTTTCTCGATTTTAAATATATTTACCACAACTTTCAGACATTGGTGAAGAGTCTAAGATTATTATTCAAGAACGTTTTGTATACTTTATTTTGCTATTGCCGAGAGTAACTCGTTACAAAATGAGAAATAATGGGAAAATTTCTCTTGGATGACACTTAACGCCTTTGTCTATTTTGAATTATAAGTACTGCGTGACTTGGGCTTTAAGTATTGATTTACTAACATGTTAGATGTACAAAAAAACTATCACAGAAATACAACTTTTGAATGAGTAATACAAGTTTATTTGTAATCAATCAAGAAGTTACAAGAGTAGGAAGTACGAACATTAAAATTAAATGTTTTTATACACCAGCCTTGTGTAATAGAAAATATGTCTGTATCACATCGACTCTTGACTCAACAGCTCGCATATATACATTTAATTGTGCAACCACAGAAGATTAATGTAAACTTTTAATGCCAAAACCGAAAACGTAGATTTCCTGTATCAAATATACAAACTGATTATTTGAGAATTTAAACCACCATATGGAACACCAAAGGTTTCTTTTCACCAAATACACAATCATGCAAGCGCGTGTATAGTATATATAAGGGTTGACTGGGTGGGCTTAAGCCCCTACCTTTCTGCTTTTATGCCCCAAAAGTACCCTTTCTCTCAATCATAAAAATTGCCCTTAACTACTAAATGCCGCGTCGGATTCCACACCATGCTTGCTGCGAGATATTAGAGAAAAAAATTATTCAGTTTGAAAAGGTAGAAAGTCATGACAAGCAAACAAGTCATCTTTTATTCCTGTTGAAATTGGTTTCCTAAACAATTTTAAGATCTAAAACTATTAATAACACATCACAATTATTTTTATTTTTTACTATAAAGACCTACAAGTCCCTGTGTGCCATTCATATGTCTGTACCAGAGACAATGAACATGACCACAATCTCCCCTACTCCTACCACTCTGAAAAAAGTCTTGTTTTACGAGGCTTGAAAGTGCCCTTTTTTATCAATGAGTTCCTGCCCGTTTAATAACATCTGCACGTTACAGTTTATATATATATATATATATATCATATTCAAAGCTTACATATGTATCACGCAAATAGCAAAACAATCCTGTACAAAGATTTACACTAGATAAACTATATCCTAATACCCTCTCTCTCGCTTTTTACTTGCTTATTTTACTTATTTTACTTGCTTAACGCTAGAGGATGTTTTACGCTTAAACATTTACAATCATATTCTGGAAGGAAAAATATGATTCGCTTCATCAGGTAGACCGAAACGGAGATTTACGTGTTTATTACCTTATATTAATTTTAATAACTATTTCACATACACTCTCTATAGAAGAAGGAACGTTTCAACATAAGTCACACTGCTATCTAGTCTGCTGCATTAACCAGTTTAGGTTAATGCATATTTACATTTTTCAAGCTTTTGGCTTAAAAAAAATAGTACTTATAACAACGTTATTTTTCTTTCTGCTTTTTTCTCCTGATGACGGATGGATCTACGTGTCTATAACGCTAGGGTTTTTATTCTTTTTTATGCAAGTTTCCAAATATTTTATCCTGCCAATTTTTAACTGTTGTGAATACAATAATGTATGATAAAAATCAGTTCATTTTTAAGATGCTGGAAAATATTCTATTTCGTGAAATTATCTGAGGTGCATTAGTGGTTAATTGCAATACTACGTCATTTCCTGGTATAATATAACACGAATTCTCAAAGAATTGAATTGATCAGTTCTTGTACAGTGTGCACAGTAGTCGACCGTATGATGTTTGTTTTTTATGTCAATATTCTAATTACAATTAGTGATAAATTAATTTATTAAATTTCATTCATTAATTAAAACTGTAATATGTTTATGTTAATACAGAGCTGTATTATTTTTGATTGAATATTTCAGTATTTATTAACTAATTTAATCATAAGAACGAATACATGGAGTACTACGGTCATGGATAGCATCATTTATTGGAAAGGAAACCCGATTAGCTCAACGTATAATTTATTTTACCTACTCAAGTTAAAGTTTTGACTTCATCACTACCAGAACAAACCAACATATATAGAAATACAAAACAATTCTAAATGAACATTTAGTTATGTTTCCGAAAGAGCGGATTATATGTTTCCCTGTTTCATTGTTATTAAAATGACCATATTTAACTACAAGCCAGAAGAAGCCATTACCAAAGGAATGTTGATATATATTGTAAAGAAAAGAGACTCTGATATCTGTACGATTTTCACAAGCGATAGGCCAGTTGAAGATCGAACGAATGTCTTGCATTTTCCATGTTAAAATAGCTCCTTCTATTTATCTTACGCAACGGGTAGTTCACGTTAGATAAAAAAAAAGACAATTACACTTCTGGTTTTATATGAAGAAAGGTTTCTTAATCTTTCAGCTGTTCGTGATTGTTGAAAATTGTGACTTAAATTATTTTCCAAAAGTTTAAAAGACCCAGAATAAAAAATTGAAATTGTTATCGAACGGACTGTTCGACCAACCTCTCTGTTTGTGACAATACAAATAAATCATCGGTCGGTCCTCCACAGACTTCGCTTTTTTCTTAACAGTTGTACAAACAATGCTCTGAAAGGCTTAGCCACCAGAATGCTTTGCTTCTTTGAGGTGTTTCAAACTAACTTGATTTTAGTAAAAACCAATAAACAGAACACCCGAGATTTGTATACAGGTTTTATGACAAAAGGTTATCTCACAAATCATTATAAGTAACAACAATGAAAATATTTATTTGTTTCGGATATTCGCGCAAACCTACACAAGGGATGGCTGGCTATCTACGCTAGTCGTCCTTAATTTTGTCTTAATAGACAAGAGGAAAGGAAGCTCAACAACAGCCACCGCCAACTTTTTGGGCACTCTGATAGAATAGTGGGATTTGTAAGGTCACTCGTATAACGTACCTAGTACCCCAAAGTGAGAAACAGGACGCGAATCAAGAAACCTCGGTTCCACGGTCCGGCATGCTAACTACTAGGCCACACCTAGTCAAAATCTTCAAATGGCTACAATACTTACAGGCTAAATATTAAAACGTTACCATTGGAAAATGATTTTACCCAGTCTTCGACGTGTACTTGCCTTAGTTAAAGCTTTACAGAGTTATATTTTAATTTTAAAAAAAGCGAAGTTTTTTCAAACATCGTAACAAAAACAGATTCACATATTTAGCTTCCTAATTTATGTACAAAGAATTTCTTCTAAAGTTTTATAAATAATTATACATTAAAAATAAATAAAAGAAACATTAGCCAAAATAACTTCTCTGCTTCTCTAAATGTTCATTTGAATAACGTTTGCTATTATTTTTGGCTACAATTGTTTTCTCTTTCTTTCTTATAATAATCATTGTTTATTTAATTTTGTTTGGAAGTCAATGAATCTAAGACAATTCAGATCTTATTTATAACAAAAATAAATAATTAATGAACAGATCTAAGGTTTGATTTCCCAGAAATTGCTCTTGCAACTTATTTCTTAACGATGAAGGATTCAGCAACAGAGTTTGTGCTTTGAAGATTTTATGTTTCCACCGTGTACGTTTGTTTCAAAATCCATAAGTACAATAACCGTAACAATATATGCTTAGTATTAAACTTGCACTCGTAAATCTAACTCTCATTAAGTCACGGTTTTTATTTATAATGTATTGGAATAAAATCTCTGTAACTTGATGAAATTTCGTATGTGTAACTAGTTTCAATACCTTATTCAATCTGCCAAAAGAAATATATATATATATATATATATATATATATATACTACAAAA